TTGGCTTTTAATTTATGTTAAGTATTATATTCGTCATTTAATTGTCTTGCTGAACAGTGTATTCAAGTCGATTGTGATTGACGTCGCTCTGCTTGCTCAACATCTTATCAGGGATGGACTGAGGTAAAAGGGATTAAGTCGAGTTGCTTCCAATGCCACAACCTCTTGAGATTCCACACTGCCTGTACTCCGATTGAATTCAGTGTCAAGTGCAGAATTTTGGATAAATGGGCATATCGCTCTTATCTCTTACGATTTAAGATTCTCGCCGATATGAGAAGAAGTAGTTTATATTTAATCTCAAGGCAATTAAGAAGATCGCTTGAAATTTGAATTTGACTTTATAAAAGACAAATTCAAAAACAAAACAAAAATACTTTTAGCCTTAACCCGAGTTCAGATCGCGATTCAAGTTTGAAAACCAGTTAATTCACCTACCCCAGGTTATACGGACCCATATAGGAAGAGAGCTGAATAATATTTTCGATGCAAACAGCTCAAGAAGAAATACTTGAAAGTGCAAGCAACATGTGTGGATAGTTTGCAATCACTATAAATACTCTATATACACTCTATATAGATACTCTATATAAGCCATATCTAATCTCACATTAGAATCTTGAGTGTTTCTTGTTTTGCTGGAATGTCCTTGGATTGGCAGCAAAAGGTGAATTGTTGCTTCTTAGCTTTTCACTTCACACATTCCGCAATTACCGAAATCTATTGCAGATCTTGTCTATCTCGTCTATATCTAATTTCAATTGGCTTCACTATTCAAATGTTGTCCTTGAACCGAAGACTTTTAAGCCACAAGCATTTCGCATGTCGCATGTTTCGCAATTAATTAAAACGTGCTGCTTGGACCATTTTTTTCAAACGGGTTTCTTACTGCTTCTTCTTTTTTTTTTAACTCGATCTTCTGTCAGATTTTTGTTTTTATTATTTTCGTTTTCAGTTTAAGCCAGTTGAACTATTGGTCAAGCGTATAAAGACGTCATAGCTGCTAAGCCATTCAGAAATTCATTTAGCACTGTCAATTGCTGGAACGAAATGCCAAGCAAAAAAGAAAATTAAAATCACAATAATAATAAATAAATAACAGATACTCTAATAATTATACAGCTCGCATTAACACAAAACATTTTTGTTAAGCATTTCGTTATTTTCTTTTTTTTTTTTTTTCATTTATTTATTTGAAATAGCTAATTAGTCTGTATCCGATTCAAATTGGAATGCATATTCTGTATACTCGTTCAAATGAGGAAAAGGGTATATTGGTTTTGTCTGTCCCTCCTTAGATAAGGATATCCAGTCTTATTAAGTTTTGTATACATATTTATATATACATATATATATATATATATATATATATATATATATATATATATAGACCTAAAAGATTTATGGGCTATATAAGCCTGACATGTCAAAAAGTATTTGATTGTGTAATAAATTTAGAGAGATATTAAAGTATTATGCAGTCTATAACAGCTGATTGAAATGTTTTAAGTGGGATTTCCATTATAATATATGGTTAATAAACAGTTTCTATAGAAACTTCAGTTCTAAACTCAAACATGTTTAGATCTCGATTGCTATGGGCAGATTGAGTGCTTTAACTATATTTTATTCAATGAGTGAATCAATAATCAATCTGAATTAACCAGAATTCGAACCGGAATAGCTAGATCGTGTATATATTGACTGATTTCAGCGGTATCGGAAGTATTATTCATGTATCTATCTGTATGATATTTATGATAACTATTTGGTAATGCCAAACACGTTCCAACTGGCGTCTATTTGTCATCCATGTTTATTGAAAAGTCCATTACACTCGTTTAAATATTTGTTCAGTCGAAACAATGGAACGACCTTAGTATTTTTTTTGTGTTTTTGGGTGTATTATATAGTAGTCATATATATAATATATAAATATTCTGTAAGTACTCTTCCTGTTGTCTGAACTCCATAGCATAATTGTGATATTTATAACTAGATATCTGAGTCATAATGAGGTATATATGCATATAGTAAAAGTCAAAGCGTGAACTAGATATCGAATCAGAGTTCACGATTTGTTCGATTGTGAATGCATTGAATGCATTAAACTTTAATTAAAACTATTGCTGCCATTTGTTACAGACAATGATATAGCAGTCTATCTCGCTCCCTCTCTGTATATTTGTCTCCCTTTCTGTATCTCTCCAATAGCTGCAAATAATTGCACAACTGTTTTGATATGCCAATTTGTAATGTGAAATAAAGTATCTTTTGTTTCCGAATGCCACAATAGATACACCGAGAGTGAGACAGAGATAGTGTGAGAGAGAAAGAGAGCAAGAGCGAGAGCTTACTTCTCATACAATAATTGCTTGAGACTGAAAGAAAAAAGTACGACGTACTTAGATTTAAGCGAATAATACATCATTTGCAAATTATATACACACAGCTCTAACCATATATACAATATACTATAAACTCTGGTCAAGTGAATATTAACTAAATGTGATAAATCACTGAAAGTGTGACATGCGACATGCGACATGCGACAATTCACAGAGAATTTCCCGGTCAATGATCAGATCCCGAAATTTGTACACATACAGCATGCAAATGTAGATTCTCTCTCGCTGTCGTTCTTTTTGTTATGATGTCGGACGGACAGGCAAATAGCCGGAGAGACAGGCAGACGTACAGACGGACAGACAGACAGATTAGTACGTGTGCAGCAAATCAGTTCAATTAAGACTTGTTATAGCCGTGCCCGTCTACTCAATGATATGTATGTACATCCGTAACTCTTTGCGGCGTAATTTTTGGATGTATTTTTCGTTTCATTTACTGGGCTATTTAATCTAAGGTTTATTTATAAACGAAATAGCTCTATACGTAATTCCCCCATTTAATAGTTTGAACTATAAATAAATAGACCTGATGTAAGCCACATTTTCACATTTCCAAATATACATATGTAAATAGTAATGGGAAAAACAGTAAGAGTGCTTGAGTCTATTAGTGCTCGACTAACAGATACCCGGAACATGATAATCTTGAATATCCAGTATTTGGTCAGTAAACTTTGAGATTATACCAATATATATATTTTTATATATACCGATTGATGAGCTCAATCTATACCAGAAAATTGATTTATCTCGTATGGTAGATCAACTTCTCTGTTGCCACTCATCAAATATATATATCTTAGGCTTTGAAAATGTCCAATATGCCCTGTATGTATATTGGGGATTTTCCAGCTGTCTTGAATCCGTCTATCAGTAAATGGAATAGGGTTAATTATTTGGATTTGTGCTCTACTGATTTGATTTTCATTTACATATTAAGTCTCGATCCCCAAATTGTTGTTCTCTTTTTGTAGTGCTTATCATGCATGTGCCCATATCGTAAAGCCCTGCATATGGATGTGTTGGCTTATATATACTGTGCGGTTTACAGTTACATTCAAAATAGATAATAAAAACCTCAACGTAGTTACAAAAATATGTAAATACATAAAAGTCAATTTCGTTTTAACTCAAATGTGGAATAGAAAAGCTCAGGGTTTTACATTTTTGAAATCTGAGTTTTATGGGGGTATTAGAATGCATGCGTCAAGAGGCATTATAAATTATTACATTTTACTTGGGATTATGAGCTGAAATACTTATCTCTAAATTGCTAAAATTCTATAACTAGAATTATTATATTTTTGCATTTTCATATTATAGGCACAAGCAGTTTATATAGCTTATTTTTATTTTTATAGATAATCGTTTTATCTAATATCATAATAGAGTTTTTGTAAGACTGAGTGCTCAGGCACTAAATATTTATTTTGATGGACAGTGCCTCATAAAGTATTTTCTTTCCATACTATATAGGAAAACAATAACATTACAGATAAACAAAAACAATAACATTAAAATTAATAAATTATGAGCATTTTTAAGCTTTAACTGGTTAGAACTAGATTATAACCTGGATATATATAAATAAAGTTTTTTAGGTTATTTCAAATTTGCTTTACAGAGCATACGAATTACTCAAGAATAATACTATATTTGACTTTTAATAGAGCCAAATTCCGGTTCTTCGTTTACTTTAAGCTGTTCATAATCTGAGCTTGTCTTCAATTGTCCAACCGGTTAACGGTTTTTCCAAGTCAAAACTGCAAAATAAAATGGCGTCCACTGATTAACTTGAATAGGGTTACAAATGGAAGCCACTGAGCTAGTTCAATGTGAGCTTTGCGTTCATTATTGTTTTGATGGGAAAATCGAAATAAACAAATATCGAACCATTTGTATTATTCCATTATAGAGTCATAACAATATCATAAATATGTATTGTTAATCGTTTTGAAGGGTGTGTAAATAGAGTAAGTACATATATGCATATGCGCATATACTAGATGCGTTTATCAATTGATAATACGCCCATATTTTGTGGAACGTTAATGGAAATGTGACAGCAGACAAGTTCATTGGCTTATTTTTCACAGCAGTTGAAGGCTGATCAACATTGTTTAGAATATATCATTATGCATCGTATAAGTCCCAATATGAAAATACTTACAATGCGGGTGCTCAATAATAAGGCACACACACATTCGCATACATACACGATTCGGTCTGTTTGGTTGTGTGAGTATCACGATTAAATGAACGAAATACAAAAGAAAGAAGTTAAATGCGCTAGCTACGACAGCAATGCGCTACAACAACGATGGCAGCTAACGGTTAAATTGAAATACCGTACAAAAGGCTGCTCAGCTTCGGCTGAGCTATAATCGCAACTCAGTTGATTTATAAATAGAACGGCCGCCCAACGCCCACCCTCATCGCATCGATATGCTCGTGCTCCAGCTCGTGCTCAAGCTCGTGTTGTTTGTCGTGTGCCCCGATCTCGCTGACGTTTCGACGTCGACAGCGACGCCGTCGTCATTCGGTAATTTATTTTATAAAACGAAAACGGCCCGAAACAGTTAGAAGTATTCTTGCACTGGCAGGGCGCAGGTTGTGTCTGGGTCGTTGAAAAGTGCGAAAAGTGCGAAAAGCTCAGCGGAGCGCGCGACTGTTCGATCGGGATATCGCGTTGAGTTGAGACTTACAACAATTGGATTAGGGAATTACGCTTCAAATAAATACAAAAATAATCTTAATTAGACTTATTACAATCCTACATTGTGGCCACGTACTAAAAGTAGTTTTTATAGCGCAGTCAATGTGATAAATTCAGTATATATATATTTATATAAGTATTTCTCAGAGTTGCGAATGTGTTAGTGAAACGCTTAATCAAAGACAAAGGGAAATTTATAATAAAAATATCAAAGTTCCTTAAAAGAATTCAAAATAATAAAAAATAATATAAATTATATTATAAATAAAATGATCAAAGTAAACCTGATCTATCCAATAATCCTTTGCTGTTGCCTGGCGGCTGTGCCGCAGGTGCGAGCAAAGCATCTGCTCGAATTTATCGCCGAAAGTGCGAATAATGAAATTGAAAAACAAGTCGAAACTTATGATTTTTCCTCCTGGTAAGTTACGAGAGTTCGTAAAACTTTCGCTCACTTTACATACTGTAAGATACGAAAACAAAAAACAACTTTCATTATCTAAATTATTAGTTTTATTATTCTTTTATGTGCATTTTTTTTTTATCTGTATAAGTGTGTCTATATATTTGCTTAGTATATGACCTGTTTCATACACCCATATCAACTGGATTATACTCTCTGTCACAACTAACCGGTCCACAATTATCAAACTGAAACCACTTAAAATCTCGCATTCGACTTTTATAATATACGTACATTTGAAAAAATAAAGAAAATGGAATATAATCGCGATCAATAAACGTGACGGACTATTTCAGAATCGTGCCAGCGTATTGAATTCCATATCAGATCCTATCGCACAGGTGTTGCACTGAACTTGTTCATGCTGAAAGTCTAATTGCCTCATTAAGAGGGCGAAAGAAAAAGTTATTTACACTAATTTATGACGCTAGGCCGTAGGTCTACTAAAGTCGTTAGCTTAATGTGTGTTTTTTTTCTCTTTCTTTAAGTTTTACGGTTTAGCTTTTGATCAATTTTGCTTAAATGGAAGTACAAGAGTACGAGAGCAGTTTATTCTAATTTAGTAAATATTTAGTTTTCTATTTTCACGAGGAATTTCTGAATTTGCATATAAAAATAATCTGGTTAGCTTTTTAAGGATTTTATTTGAATGTAAGTTTCTTCATTATATATGCAGATGTATAAATTAAATACGTGACCAGATAATTTTATATAAGATATACTTCCCTAAAAGATGTTAATCAGATTATTTCGATTTATGATTTCATACTTTTTTTTTTTAGTTGTAAATAAAAACAAAGAATTTATTTTCAATCAATCAACAACAAAAATTAAATTGAAAAAAATAAATCCCAAAATGAATGAATAATTAGTATTACTGAAGTCAAAGCATATTAGTAAAAAAAATTAATAAATTAATTAAAAGAATACAATAATACGACAGATATAAATTGTTCCCATATTTTGATTTCAGCCAAATATATTGCTATGGACCTCTGTTGCATACGGTACAGATGGCGAAACTGTTTCCCGACTCGAAGACCTTTGTAGACATGAAACTGAAGGCTTCGCCTGAGAAGACAATGGAGTTATTTGAGGCATTTATGGCTTCCACGAATAATACACCCACTAACGATCAGATACGGAAATTTGTTGATGTACGAAAGAGACGTCAATTCAATAGTAGCGTAAATTTTCATTGATCGAATCTTTTCGGAACTTGTAGGATAATTTTGGAGCAAAGGGCACCGAGCTGGAGGTGTGGACACCTACAGATTGGGTCGAACATCCAGCGTTTTTGGATCTTGTGAACGATCCGGATCTGAAGCAATGGGGCGTCGATCTAAACAACATCTGGAAGGAGCTCGGACGTAAGATGAAGGACGATGTGCACAAGAATCCGGAATATTACTCCATTATACCCGTGCCCAATCCGGTCATTATTCCCGGCGGCCGCTTTATCGAGTTCTACTACTGGGACTCTTACTGGATCATTCGAGGCCTGTTGTACAGCGAGATGAGGGATACGGCCCGTGGCATGATCGAGAACTTCATGTCGATTGTACAGCGCATTGGATTCATACCGAACGGTGGTCGCGTCTACTACTGGGGTCGCTCCCAGCCGCCGCTACTGGCGGGCATGGTCAAGTCCTATGTGGACTTCACCAAGGACGATCGCTTTGCCATCAATGCACTGGATGTGCTGGAGCATGAATTCGAATACTTCATCAACAATCACAGCGTACAGGCCAAAGGCTATAATCTAGCTGTGTACAGGGACTCGTCGAAGGGACCCCGTCCCGAATCCTACAGTGAGGACATAGAGACAGCTGCTACCTTCAACACCGACGAGGATAAGGAAAACCACTATAGTGAGTTGAAGTCGGCTGCTGAATCGGGCATGGACTTCAGCTCCCGCTGGTACATCAACGAGGAGGGCACAAATGTTGGAAATCTCTCAGTTACGAAGACCCGTTCCATTGTTCCAGTCGACCTGAATTCGATTCTCTACTGGAACGCCAAAATTATTGCAGAATTCCATGCCAAGGCGGGCAACGTGGACAAGATGACAGAGTATGAGACCAAGGCGCAGAAAATCAAGGAGGTAAGTAGATCAAAATCTATGCAAAATATAAATCTTTATCTATACCTTACTCTCTCATGTATTCGGCAGGCTATTCAGGCTGTCCTGTGGAACGAGGAGGCCGGCTGCTGGCTGGACTATGATTTGATCAACGAGAAGCCACGCGACTACTTCGTGACCTCCAATCTAGCCCCGTTGTGGGTCAAGGCTTACAATATTTCCGACACCGACAAGATATCCGCATCGGTGCTGAACTATATTGAAAAGAACAAACTGGACACATTCCCAGGCGGCATACCAAACACGCTCTATCAGACTGGAGAGCAGTGGGACTTCCCCAATGTGTGGGCGCCTCTGCAGTATATTATCATCGAGGGTCTGGACAATTTGGGCACTCCCGATGCCAAGCAGCTGTCGAAGAGGTGGGGTCATCGCTGGGTGAAATCCAATTTTGCAGCATATCGCGATTCGCGTGCCATGTTCGAAAAGGTAGCGTTCGAGTAGTCTATGTAATCTATAGTTCTCTGATAATACCGAAATACTTTTTCAGTACGATGCGGAAAAGTTTGGCGGACATGGCGGCGGTGGTGAATACGGCGTACAGAAGGGCTTTGGCTGGACCAATGGCGTCATCATCGAGTGGCTAGCGAAATACGGACACGAGATTTCGCTGAGCAACACGGGCGCTGCAGGTGAAAACGCGAACTAGAGCAACAACTCTGACCACGCCCCGAGCGATTGCTAAGGGCAATTGCTAAACGTTAAACATTATTTGAAACCATGAACCAAGCATCGACATTGTCCTCGTCTCAGTTGTTACAACTGTTGCAGGCATACTTTTAGTTTTAGATTGAAGCTCTCAGAGATGCTCAAATAGTTGATAATTCACATATATAATTAATATCTGTTATTCAGAGAGACTCGAGTATCATCGACCATTGTCCATCAATAGGCTAAGCTCTATTTCTCTCTCTCTCTCTCTCGCTCACTCACTGTCACTCTCTTTCTGTGTGTCTAAACCTAATGTCTGTATCGGAACAATCAACGTCTGCAACGAGCACAAAGCACAATCTCCACCCAGAGAGAATTAGGAATTGATGATCAGATCCAGCCAGAACAACATGAGAGATTACACACATCTGCTCCACACACACACACATACACACACACACTCTATCTCTATCTCTCTCCCACTATTTCTACCTAAATATATATTATATATCGCTTTTCATTTGTCTTCAACTTTGCCTTCGCCCTCGTCTCGTCTCGCCTCGACTCGCATCTATATATCTGTCGTTCTGTCGTTTAACGCCAAAACTTTTTACGTAAGTGTCTCAAAAATCATTTGTCTCTTATTCTTAACTATATATGTATGTTCTAATACCTGCACAATTTGCTTAAAGTAAGCGCACCACTAACATAGTTCCCATAAAAGATCTTCACATTTACGTAGCCATAGCACAGCATGATAAAAGTATATGGCTTTGCGATTTAGCTACCGTTAGATTTATTTGTTGTTATTATAATTTATTATTTATTAATTATACTATTCTCGTCACACTTTCCACAGGTCCCAGCAGTCGATTCCTCAGCTTATTAGGCGTAACAGCTGTGGCGTTAATAGGTGCCTTTGCCGGTCATCTCATCTGGTGAGGTGAGTCTTAATAACAGAGAGAGCTCTATTTAATATTGTAGAGTGAGAAGGCAATTGCTAATTACATTTACATTTTGCTTCTCATTGCAGATTCAGAGACAACTTTGTTTGCCCTATGAAAATGTGATTCCCTCCTTCCCAGCATTTTAGTGTGCATGTGTGTGAGTGTGTGTGTGTGTGAGCGTATGTATGTGTTTCCAATTAGACAAAAAGCGTTTTCAGCTTGTGTGCGCAGATTGCAGTATTAGATATAAACAATATACAATTGACATATTTGTTAGAGATGTGATGTGAGTTGTACATACAGAATTCTATAATAACGGGCATGCCCCACTTGTTGAGTTACCTTTAATATTAAACTTAAGCAACCAATTGAAGACAATAATGGACACAAATCAATGTTAATGCATGGCATTCGTTGACTACATATATATATATATATATATATATAGAAATATCCTCGCAACCCTCGTGAAGAAAAGACACAATTTGATATATTTTTGATGTTGTTAGTTGTTAACAAAAATTGCCAAATTGTTTCCTCTGATTTATAGTTACATAAAAAAAAAATAAAAAAATAATAATAATACAAATATTTGTTGCATGAACACAACTGTTTTTCTGTCCATAAACAAATGTTAATAATATTTTCCCACTTCTACAGGCGAACTTGGTTCAAGTAACTCAGAGCGTCAGCACAATTGTCAAGTGTACATAGGTTTTTTATTTTATTTTTATATTGTTGCTTTGCTTGCATTCAAAATTCAATAATTGGAAACTTATCTATAAAATAGCTAACACGACATAATAAGACGACATTAAACTAGAGGACTGAGTTACATGCACACGTATATATACATACATATATACATACATACATACATACATACATACATGTATATATATAGAGCATATGTAATTTGAAATCTTAGCGCACTTTTGCGTTTGGATATGACTCGGTTTGATTTGACAAGGACACAAACTATCCACAGATAACAGATACAGATATAACAAAAAAGAAAGAGTGGAATTATCGTACACAGTACATACATAGAGAAAATAACAATAAATATTTGCCAGCGCTTTAGAATAGTGTAAATTAACTAATTCGTCTGCTGCGGCTCGTGACTAAAGTAGGGAGCGGTGTTTGGCGTGAGCAAAGTGTGACAAATATCACAGACGCGGGCAATACGTTTCCGTGGTCCCGATGGCACCGTTTTCGTTAGACATTTATCGCAGTAGATGTGTCCACAGTGGCGGCAATGGATTTTGCGCACCATCACCGTGAAGCAGGCGTTGCATGTGGGACAATTGTTGACATCGTCGTCGTCCTGCCAGCGCACCTCGGTGTCAGCATGCCGCAGCTCCTCCAAGGTCATCTACAAAAAACAACAAATAGGTTTAAGTTTACAAGTATAATTGAAAATAAAAAATAAATATTTATATTTTTACTTAATTGGATTTCAACTTACCTGCAGTTTTTGTGACAGTTTGACAAAATCTTTTTGCACCGTTTCCATTGTGGACAACTCCTCCTGAAGCGTCTTTATCTTCGCCTTATAGTCTACATTAGTTTTTGCCAGTTTCTCCTGAAAATGAATCATACGTGAAATTGACTGATTGATTTAATGCATCAACTACTTACGTTTGCTTCCTGTAGTTCTATAATCTCAACGCGGCACTCGGACAGCTGCTTGTTCAGCTCAGCCTCTTTACGTTCCAAAAGTGCCTTTGATGACTCGTGCGACTGCTCCGCGATCAGCTTTTCCGTGATGCGATCTCTACGGATATAATAGTATATAAGTAATTAATAGATGATTGGCATAATTATATATCTTCGACTTACTGTAGTGTCTTAATGCTTGATTGCACTTTACGCTTATAGGCACGCATTTCATTGTTGCTCTCTTCGAGCTGGGCGCGCAATAAATGAATCTCATCCAACGAGCTGACGCACTTCTGTTTCTCATATTCGCTGCTAACTCGGGCCTGTATCAGTTCGTTCTGCTGTCGTAGAATTAACTCCTGTAGCTCGACCACAGTGTTTGGGAGATTAATGTATTGGTTCTCAATTTCCTCGGATGTCGCCAGAAATCGACCGGACAGGAAGTCATTGTCAGCCTGCAGTGTCTCTAGATGCTGGTTAACCCTTTCACGATCATCAGTCACTCGCTGCAGATTCCGCATCACCTCCTCCTTGGTCTCGAGAAACTTTTGTTGCATATCCAACAATTGTTGCTCGTTGTTCTTCACTTGCTCGCGAAGGTTTTGTACTTCGGTCTTGTGTGCCTCCCGCTTCGTCTGCCACTGATTCTCCAAGTCAGTGCGTAGCGCCGCTTCCTTGCTCAACTGTTCCCGCGCTTCAGTAATCTGCTTTTGTAGTATATCCATTTGCTTTTGCTGTTGCTTCACCTGCTCTGCCAAATCATTGGCACGCTGTTCTGTCGTATTACAGCTACTACAAACTGTACTGTCTTCTACCAAATCTGTTGATGTGGACTTGTGCATGGCAGCTGCTCCATCTAGAACGGATTCTGTTGTTTCCTCTGTCCGCTGTGAGGTGCTTGCTTTAGCCTGTAGCTTTTCGTCTGCTTCACGCAACTTTTCCTTTAGCGCTTTCATTTCTGCTTGCAGTTGCTCAATTATGGAGTGCATCATTTCGGCATCTTCGGGGGCCTGTTTAAACATACATATATAGATACTAGTGGAGCTACAAATAGGTCTAGAGGTACTCACATATTGGTTGGCATTTGACTTGCTTGTTCCACGCGCGTTGCTGTCAGCACTCTCCTGCTGAAAGCTGTTGTTCAAGGACTCGCTGCCTAGTTTTCGCACAGATCCGAGTGTTTTCTTCACCTGGTTAAGAACATGAGGTGCTAGTCCGCCGGATGGCTCAGCTGTAGCTATTTGCTGCATCTGCTGAAGTTGCTGTTGTTGTAGCCGCAGCTGTTCGACTTTGATGCGCTCCAATTCTGCTTTGTATATGGCCGATTCTTCGATGGTGTCCTGTACCAGCTGTTGCAGTGACGATATCTCCTCTTGCGCCTTTATATCCTTCAACTGCATTTCGTTCTCGCATTTTAAATCTGCTACCATGACGTGCGTCTTCAACTCATTCAATTCGTCTTGCAGCTGCTTCCGCTCGGCCTCCTTTTGCATGTACAACTCCTTCATTTTTGCACGCTGAGTATTAAACTCGTTTTGCATTTTACGCATCTCCGCCTGGAGCAGTTCCAACTTATGCTGGTATGTCGCGTCATCATCTCCTGAAATGACGAAGTTAACTTTAACTGAATTTAGCATTGATTATGGGTCATTCACTTACCGTTTGCAACGTTATTCTGGGCCTCCACCGTACTCTCATTCTCCTCCATTTTACAGAAAATGAGCTAAGACAATAATATCAACAATTATGTTTAGTTTACCACAGGGATGCAAGCCATCAGAATTAGAGATGCGCCGCACAAATAGAACTCGCCCATGAAACACTCGCGACTGCCGATTAGTGTACAAGACACGATGAGCTGCAGCAGAGGCTGGCAGTGATTATGCTGGCATATAATCTCCGATTATTTATACTTCATAATAAAAATACATCCTTATTAATAATATATGAAAAATATCATAATTAGGACCTACTTAACAATTCTAAGTGGCGGATTATGTCTTAACGATAGTTGATTATACATTTACCCATTTAAAGGTTATTTTGTAGATTTACTTAAAATTTATTAATAAGATTCAATAATAATATTTATTTTGCTTTAAATGTAACGACATAGCAAACTCTCAGCGCAAATACTCTATGGAAATATCGATGAGGATATCGATATGAGCTATTATCGATTGGCCCGTCGTACTGTCTCACCTCTAATGCACATGTGTTTTGGAACGCAGTAACTCCGAAAGTTCTCAATTTTATTTTGAAGAAACACCAACTCTTGCAGCCTAAAAATGGTAAGTTTTGAACTCTATAACCATATCAACATCCCTAAAGTCCATTTGATTTATAGGTGAAAGGGAAAAAGCCATATATTGACCGTAAAAAGGCTGTCACATTTCACTTGGTGCATCGCAGTCAGCACGATCCCTTGGTGACCGATGAAACTGCTCCACAGCGTGTGCTTTTGGAGGCGAGTGCAAGGCAGTCGCAATCAAAGCCACAGGATGAAGCAACCGTGGATCCAGAGAAACGGCGAGAGGAGCTGAAAAAGTTTGGTATTCACTTTGATGACGACTATGATTACCTGCAGCATCTGAAGAAGCGAGAAAATGATGTGGTTTGGGAGTATATGGAGAATCCCAATCAAGCAAAGAAGACGAACGCTGAGGATTCCAAAGCGCAGACCAAGCTTCTGCTGCCCAGTTCCGTATTTGCTAGTGAATTTGAGGAGTCTGAAGGCATGTTAAACAAAGCAGCTCCTCAGCCCGGTCCACGTCCAGACTGGGATCCAGATGTTGTTGCAGCACTCGACAGCGATTTCGAAGACACTGAAGAGTTGGAAGACGACTTCGTAATGAAAGCCATGGGCAGCGGTGATGAAGACGAAGAGGGAGACGACGAAGATTGGGAAGACGAGGACGAGGAGAATGATATGGACTTTGATTCAGATAATTTAAATGAAGATGAGAACGCAGACGAGATGATGGACCGCCTTGGTCCACTGATGCGCAAAAGTCGTTTTGACGATGAGGAAACCAAGTCGCGCTTCACAGAATACTCAATGTCGTCGAGTGTAATTCGTAGAAACGAACAACTCTCACTGCTCGACGATCGTTTCGAGCAGTTCTATGCAAGCTACGACGATCCTGAGCTCGGAGATCTCGCTTTAGAAGACATTGAGGGTCAATGGCATCAAAAGCATCCCGTTGTAATGCAATGTTTCCAGGAATTCAAGAAGAAAAACGAAGACTTGAAATATGACAAAGAATGGGATCGCGAGCGCATTAAAAAATACGAAAATGTTGTTGACGGCGAACACGATCCAACCGACGAACTGGTCGACTACGAAGTCGAAGACGGCAAAGAGAAGAAATGGGACTGTGAATCCATACTCTCCACATATTCTAATATTTATAACCATCCAAAACTAATCGATGAGCCTCGCGCCAATCGACGTGCGGCGCCCATTAAGATCGATCCCAAAACAGGCCTTCCAGCAAACGTGCTGCGTGGCGGCACCGATGCCCAGCTCACAGCTAAGGCGTTGGCCAACTTGGCCGATGATTCAGCAGATAATGCTGGTCCAAAATCTCTGTGTGCCAAATCGGTGCTATCCACACTCAGTGTCCTCTCCATACGCCCCAAGGACGAGACTCCCGAGGAGAAGCGCGAACGCAAGCGTTTGCTTAAGGATTACCGCAGCGAACGCCGCATCGAGAAGAAGGCCAACGCCGAGGCCTTCAAGGAGGAGAAGAAACGGCAGACACATGTGAAAATCAACCAGCGAACGAACCAGCAGGGCTCGACAATTGTTTAGGCTGCCTTCATTAAATAGTTTTTAGTAAGAATATTTGTTAATACTGGAAATGCTAGTTGTAATTTACATTCATGATTTAGAAATATCCCATTATGTATGAATGTACATAAAAATATTTAATACACATTTGGAAATCAAAAAAGACAAATTTGAATAACTGGCTAAGCATTATATCAAAACTAATATGCTCTATTATAAAATACCCTACATATATGTTCGTGTGGAAATACTAGCGTAGCCATAAAAAGACAACCACGAGCCACGCAACAATTACCTCAAACCCCAACAGTGACGCCTATGGGCTTATGTATTTATATATGTGCATGTGTATCTACATACATATACATGCATATGCAGGTTATAGGCCGATTTGCTCAATTTCCTATATATTAACTTATATATATTATATTGAAATTGACGTTTCATTGTTAATTCACACTTCTTCAGGTAGTGCAAACAAAAAGTCAGGACATACCAGGGGACACTTTCAATTGTATGTAATATATATAGAATATACATACGTCTACAGTAGTTCTGTACACTCATTACAACGCATTTAAGGTCTAAAAACACAGTTTAGAATTCCCCCTGAGATATGAGTGAAAGTAGGCGCGATTTCCAGCTAATAAAAGTTAGCCCTACTTTTCGAAGTGGGTGTTGCTGTTGGAAAGGCCCAACAATATCGGACTACATATGAATGGGTGTATGTATGTATGTCTATATATACATATGTTTGTCTAAATAGATACCCTATGCATGTGCACGTCTGTTTGTATTCCTTTTCCCCGTCCCACCTGTTTAGTGTTTGGTTATTTTGTGGAAATTTCAAGTCAAATTGCCTAGGTTTTATTGGAAAGCCCCGACGTCAGTTGTTTATTGCGATTATAGTTAGTTGCTTGATGGAAGGGTGTAGACATGTTTAGTTTAGGTAAATCATATTTATGCCTTCGTACATATGGCCTATAGTATGTGTGTTTTTCCAGCCGGAACTGAAATGTGAGACGCTTTCAGTTTCGACATAATAATGACCTTCAAATGGGGTGTCAAGTATACATTTATATCTTTTAGAAAAATATTAGCATACATTCATAATTCATTTAGAGTTTCGTATTAATACATCATCATTAGTATTTGCCAAAAGCACAATGTACATACAGACATACAAATATGGTTATGTTTGTATGTACTTATGCGCTGAGCCAAGCAAATCGTAGCCTAATTACCGACCCTGTGTTCTACTAAATACCAAAACAAACCACGTACTATTGCAAATGATTAAAAATCCACATGGCCACATTTCCATGGCGCCTAACGGAACCTAACACCAATTTGGAACCAAGCTCGAGCTCGCACGCTTACCCAGCACGATACTCACAGCTCCTTGTAAATGGAAACCGTCACAGTTGTCGTGCCGCTGCCGCTGCCGCAGCCGCAGCCGCAGCCCCTTCTCCTGCTTCAGCCACTACCAATGTCCCTAGCTGGCGGCTAGCGTCGGCGTCAGCGCCAGCGTTGGCGTCGCGTTTGCTGCCATTTTGTTGGGAGCGCGGTATATTAAAGTGGCAAGAAAGCAGCAAAGAAATTCGCGCATTTTTAGTTCCGTTCAGTTCCTGAGCGAAGCCGAAAGGATTCGAACGCGCGTCGGCCAGCAACGCGGTAATGCCCATATTATTTCATTCAATTGTCAAGCAGACAAAAAGTGTTCGTGTCATTGCCTCAAAATGGGCTAAGTGCATTTTCGATTCGGTTACTTTTCGAATCGCATAATGAATGTTCTAATGAGTCAAATCGATAACAACTTAAACTATCGGTGTTAGTTATGAAAGAAATATAAAGTTATTAATAATACATGCCTACAAATGCATACATATACAATCCAACACGAACCAGTTCCGCGCAAATTGTAAACATGTGAAAAACCGTTACAAATTAGCGATGAGAGTTTTAATTAGGCAAACATATGGCCAAAGCTTGTCTTTAGTGTGAGCAGCCGAAAGAACAATTAAATTTGTTAAAATCCCTTACAACTTGCATTCGTTTAAAATAAATTTATATTAATTTAAGAGAATAAACGTAGCCGCTTTTAACATGCATAATTAAAATAAATGGATTTTCAGACTCAATTAGTCGCCTACTAACGCACGTACATACGTAAATATTTTATGATATGCTTTTATAGCTTTGTGCGATAATGCAAAATATTCCATACTCAAATAATTAAAAACTGTAAAATACAAAAAGATATTGCAATATACATATATCATACATAACTATATACGAATAAATACATAAATATGTACATATGTGTTTGCTTCAGATCTAAATCTTTAAGTGTGTAACAAACGCCTGGCTCTGTGTGTATGTGGGGCTAGCCGGATATACTTCATCTTGCGGAATTTTTAATTTCAATGGCGAGAACTATCATTTCCATTGTCACTCGCAATGGCAATGTCAATGTCGCTACCGGTTCCTCTTGTATTATATATGTATGTATATAAATTGAAATTATCAGGAAAATCATAATCAGGCCAAAAAAAACAACTAGATATTCAATATGCATAGGGAACATGATTTAAGATTGGATGAGACATTGCAATATTTGCCCTTGCGCAATCACAGATAAAGTATGCCGATCGAGCTTTTTCTATCTTATATTGAATGATCTATGGCTCCATTATATAAGTCACAGATATGTGCATATACTTAAGTAGCTTACTTTGCGTATGCTGACCAAATTGTAACGATAATATTTAAAGCGCGCGCGCTTAAGTGGAATCGGCACGCGATTCAATTGTCTCACATGGACTTAAGGCGCGAAGCGTGCCGCACTTGTCGTTATATATAAGCATGTGTGTGTGTGTGTGTATGTACACATTTGTCTCTCTGTGTCTATGTGTGTGTGCTTGTGTGCATGTATTTCCCTTGACCGGCTGCCTGGCAAGCTTAGGCATCGCGCTCCGTGGCTATCATTTTACTAGAACCACATGCGCCTGCCTCCCACACAGATGGCCCGATAATCGCGCACAATCTATGAACATATGTGCATATCCGACAGCAGAAATCATGAGATAAGTGACACACACACACACACATGCACACTCGCATCTAGCCATAGATTTACATATGACATATGCCGTAGAGCACGCCACTATAGCGTCGGCCGAGTCGGACAACGGTTTATTTATTCGATATTTGAGCGCTAGTTGAGTTGGTATTGCAGTCGCTGTCGAAGTCGATCCATGAGTCCAACTGTGCGGCAACATAATTAGCCAATAACGCGATAAAATCGTGATAATATATATCCCAATTGTATATTTAGTACTCAATCAAGCTAGTGCTCGCTCGTATCCTTTGAAGTCAACTCGGAGTTTAACGACATATCATTTTTAGCTTTTAATTTGAATGCATTGAAAATTAAATTCGAATTCAACTTCAATTTCGATTTCGATTACGCTATCGTGTTGCAGATTTCATAAAGCGAATTATGAAATTCCCACGTCGATGTAAAGTGAGATGATTTGAGGTTTGGTTTAATTTTCTGTTTCGTCGTCAACATCATGCTGGGCAAATACAACACAAAGGCATTCATATCGCTTGGATTGACTTTCATACTGATGTGGTGAGTTCCAATTTCAATACAGGAATTTATTATATTATCCTGATTATTGTATATTGCATACGCATAGTAAACCGTTTTTTCTTAGACATAATTCATTGATTCATTCTTGAATTTTAAAATCAATGAAATTTGTAAAAGCTTCCATATGATAGAAATTTTCCTGTAGATTATAATATCAGCAATTTATTTAAAGGACTATCAGACTTGTAAATGAAAAACTAAGCTTTAACTTACTTATACTTATATGTTGATATATGTGTTATATGAGCCAGCATTTGGATTGAAGCATAACAAATATGTTCTACAATATTTGCATTGCTATACATTATTCAAGTAGGCTTTTAACGATTAGACAAAATATTTTAGTGGTATATCATATGTAAATATGTCTAATCTTAAATATATTTTATGGACTTAATTGAAAAATTGCACTCGGCAAACTTACCACATATATATATAGTAGAAGAAAGATAATTATAATAATTATATAGGTGTGCATTTCCACCATGCATATGATTCCGCCAAATTTGAAATGCAATTGTTGTCAATTTGTTATTATTTTTTACTTAAAACAGCTTGGGTAGACTGCTAAGCAAGCAAATTGCACAATAATAACTATTTAAAATATACACTATATAATATATATATGTTATTGATATAAATTAATCTTAAGTATAAGTAAGTATTCAATATATAATAAGCAGCATAAATAATAAGTAGTATAAATAAATAAAGCAAACTGTGCAGAAGTCCTAGTACATAAGATAAAATAAAAGAGACTATGCCATCTATAATTATAAATATTAATGTAAATAAGTTATTAAGCATATTGAGCAGCGTAATGAGGTAACCCGATTGAACAATTTGTGTTTGATTGCCTATATATCAGTTCGTATGCATTTCTGTATAGTTGTCTCTCTGTCTGATTCCCTGACTGTCTCTCTGGCTGCCTAACAAGAGCAAGGGACGAAGAAAAACTACCCAAGATCGTTCGAGTTGTCTATGTGTATGCAGCAGTCGTCACTTCGTATTTATATTTGAGTAAAACGAAGCTAGCTTAGAGAGAGTTCCCATTGGCTCGACTGCAACGATCTCTACCTGGCGTCGGGCTCTACCTTTGAGCGCGTCTGAGTGTGTGAGTGAAAGGTGCCCTATATAAAGGGCAGCAGCTGCAGCATTTCTTCAGTCGCCCAGGCCTAGTGGGGGTCAGTCGTGCAGAAATACTTAGCAGAAATTCGTAGAGGAACTACTTAGAAGAAATTCATTTGTTTTTTAATTGCAATCAAATGTTGATCATGCGCAAAGCATTGCAAAGCATTAACTGAAATATTTTAGGCATGTGTCAACTTTGAGGAGGAAATTGCATATAATATATGCTATTTTTTTATTGAATATAACCTTTGCACGGTATTTCCGAGTATTGGCAAGCCATTTGACAAAATGAAAAATAATGAAAAAGAAAGGGAAACACAACACACACTCACAGACACACACCAAGGTCAATTGAATCACTACAAATGGGGCTGCAGCACGAATAATAGTCAACTTAAAGTTTAGCTAGGGGTTGTCAGGTGAAATCGCAGTAAACTGAACAGCACCTGTATTTACAGCCAGACAGGCCCAGACACGAATGTATGCAAGTTAATTTCCAGTTTGGACTTAAATTGACAAAGTTTATAATAGTAGTACCCAATGCGCTCCATGAGGGCCAAAACCCTAGCATATGTGTATATATAGTTGTGTATATAGTTGCATATATTGTTGCATATGCATTTATATTCTTTGAGTTGTTGCCATTTCATATCCGATTTGTATTTTTGGCCACTTTTCAGGATTAGTGAGGCCACGGACGCCCACGTGAACTACAACTATACAACGAAGCCGCGAGTGGTTCTTCCGCCTAATTATGTCAAGGGTAAGTTGGCAATATATTTTTTATACCCTGTAAATTAAGTCATTTAAAGCCATTTTAAACGGTTTTGCATGGTTGTGTTATTTTATTGTTACCATTATTATTATTTTTTTTTTTTTTTTTTTTTTTTTTTTTTTTTTTTTTTTTTTTTGTGACTGCGGTTTATTCGGTTTATTTCAATTGCCAGATTTGTAAATGATCTATTTTCAAGTACTCTAATTGATTCACATACTTATAATAATACAAAGCTATATAAAATGTATTATTTTAAAAACAATAATAATGATTATAATATATTAAAATAAGTTTAAAAAAATATTAAATCTCATACATACATTAAATGCATAAATAAAAATATCGAAATGTAAAACATATTGCTCAAATAATATATTTATTTTATATCTTCACAAAATAAATATATAATTTATATAAAAATATAAATTTTATAGTAATTATATTTGTTAGCATATTAAATCTTCGGCTCGCAATGCTCGGTACAAATATTTTGTGATTCATTTCTCTTTCTCTTCGCCTTTTGCCAGTGCTAAAAGCGTTGCGTGTGGCATTTATCGTGACACAGCCAATTTCAGGGCCTTTTCGTATAGCCCGTATAGCCCCGTTTTTGTCTTCAGCCGGGTGCATATTCGCTTAACTTCTGTAATTACTACTTATGTACATATATGTAATGTATGTATGTATGTATGTATGTATGTATGTGTAGCAATGTATGTCGCGTCCTGACGTCAACAGTAAACAGAAAAAAAAACGGAAATTATAGCGATCGATTAAACGAGAGAGAAGCGAGGCAGAAAATGAAGAAAAGGAGATGAGTTTAAATTTTGCATGCCTTTATATATTTGTACCGGTATACAGTTAAATACTATATATATTTAAATATGCATATATTGTAGGAGTAAAAAATATAGGTATACAAAGCTTATATATCGAAAGATTAATTAATTAATAATTTATTTTAATGCCTTAATACCTTTTCGGCGGCATCTCAGACTCCTATTCGATAAACTCCTTCACTATTACCCCTACTTTGACATTTATGAGGTCGGTTCTTACTTTAATCTTTAATTTGAAAAGAGAAGTTGCTCTCTACAATGTAATTTCCGCAGGAAAAGCAGCTAGAGCAATGGGTCTATATTTTATATTTTGAAAGGTAACCATGACCAGAGAGAATTTGTACAAAAAGACGTCACACGGTGCTCTAGATCAAAGATAATTTTTGCAATTTTACCTTACTTTAACACTTTAAAAAAGTCTGATCTTGCATTAAAAATATTTGTTTTTAATAATCAAAATATTTTTATTTTTTTGCATAAATAAATTATAGCAATAAGTATAAAACTTAATAAAAATAATTTTAAAAAATTAAAAAATAAAGTATTTGTAATAGTGAATGTTCCATAATCTCGTTATACTTAACATAAAGAAAATATAAAATATTCTATAGTCTCACTAAACACCGTTATTTTATACTTAGCATGATATGTTACTCCCTTAAGTGAGATATTTAAATATATTCATATAAGATATCTAGCATGCATAAATTAAAACTTTACTGCGATTAAACTTAAAGCGTTCTAGCTCATTTGAAAGGACAAAATACCCATTAAATTAAGTTAAACCTTAACGTCTAGCGTCTAACTTCTCACGCCTGAGCCTCTATCGATTTTCACAGTTGTGTAATAAACCTTCAACCCACACGCTGTCCCTGAACTTGAAGTGGGGCCGATTGCCCGAAATTCTTACGTGTTCATATACGATAAATAACAGACTATATAAAGACTATGAGAGTGATGATTGGGCCAGGGCTGCATATGATTATATTGTGTTATTATTTTCTGATTAACTGCGTGATCTTTTTAATTGCAGAAATGCGTCCGCCCTCGAAGAAGGGTTCCCCAGTGATAGTAGACTTTAGCATATTTGTTGTAGATATTAACTCAATTAACGTAGAGGATATGGACTTTAGGTAAGTGATGTTCTCCATTGCCTCCATCGAAATGATGATCATGTAATGCAGCCAGACATTATATATCCATTTTCAGAGTTGACATGTTCATTCATCAGCGATGGATGGAATCGCGACTAGAAATCTCCGATGACATATTCGAGGAGGGCGACGATTATGTGACCTTGCTTCCAGAATTTTTCGACAACCTCTGGCAGCCAGATCCGTATTTTCTCAATTCAAAAATTGCCGGTAAGTCAAGATGATATATAAATGCATGTTCCTCCCTAAGTAAAGTGTTTTTGATGTGAGAATTGTTGACACCCGAATTCACAATTTACAATTCACAAAGTTCTCTAGCACTGATAAGTCTCTCTTGATCGCACTGAAGCCTAGAGTTAGTCTATATGTATTTACCCAATTTGTGTATAATAATATTGTGTTTTTTATACTTTTAATTTCTATTGTTTTTAACATTACCAAAAAAAAAAAAAAAAATAAAAAAAAAACTTTTCAACTAATAACAACAACGCATACGACTAGGATTTGGAAGTCCACATATTTCGTCGACTTCTCTACTACGCCATAAGGATGAAAAAGAATCTAAAAACTTTCATCTAGACAAAGCTTTAAGTATACTAACAATCAACTCTAGAATGTGTTTTCTGTTTTCGTGTTGGCCATTGTGATCAAGTCGTAGTCAAAAAACACAAAACCTTCATTCAATCAACTCATGCATAACTCGAAATTCAACGAGAAATCTAACGAATTTCGGCATGCCGAATATTTAAAACTCTTGCAGTTTTTAAGAGGTCCTAAATCTTGATTTCGCTTAGGTTTAACTAGTTAAGTTTTTAAATGCCTTTTTCCGATTGATGAGAGAAAATTATATGATATCATGACATAATTTTTTACTCATATCAACTGACTATATTTACTTTGGGACAGCCCTTTATAATAAATAACTTATTACCCCAAATGCCAAACCCAAAGTCAATTCATAATAATTAGTAACATCCCTCATTTGACTGTCTATAGTCTAATAATACTAAATCAATTTCAATTATATAAATATTTGTGGGCAAAACAGAGTCAGGGCTCAAGAAGATGAGTTAAAAATACATAAAAAAAATTAATTAGGCTATTTTCAATGTGAACAAATGACAATTTAACAGCTGCTTTGCAAACCAAGACAAATACTATTAAATATTAATATAATAATAATTTCTATGGGAGTAAATTTTAAAGTATTAGCTCTACTGCAAGTTTGTACTGACATTTTCATATCTCTTTAGTAAAAATAAATATAATATATATTTTATTATACACATATCAATATAACATTCATATTCATTCGTCTCATACTCACATCAAACTTATTTTACTTTAATTTGATTTTTCCCATAAAGATAAATGAAAATGAATTTATACAATCCAGTTTCTTTGCGGCAGGTCGATAAAATGATTTATTTCTTTAATTTAATGCAGCCAACTAAGAACTAACAACAAAATGCATGCTTAACAATAGAGAGTCAGCTTTTAGTCCACTTATCTGGCATTGCGTGCAACTGAAAAATCAAGCAGAAACCCCGTAAAAAAAAAGCATTTCGGAAATAGCTAACGGACTCACCAAAGCGTTCTCAATGCCATGGCCAATTAGTTGCTAGTGTTTGGTTCAAAAAAGAATGTAGACCCCCATATTAAAATACAGAAATTTTGCAGTTGTAGAAGAGTGTGATAAGATCTAAACAACGCTTCACGGCGAAATTGTAAACAGAAATCCTATTGACCTTCGATCACCTTAGCAAACTGGATATGTGGCTTAAAGGATAATGTTTTAGACTATATAACAGAGTCCATATAAGAGTTCTCGATAGGTAGCCCTTGCCTGAGCAGCCCTTCTCATTTAGAAGCCTTCGAATCCCAGTCTCTATGAACTCTGTGAACTTTGTCTAATTGCCTTATACAAATACCTTTATAGATATCGAATTTCGTCACAAAGTCTAAAAAATTGAAGTCGTCTAATTTTATTAGCTATAAAAGTCAAGCATTGTTAATGTCCCAATCTATTTTCATGAAAAGTAGAAATATCGATTTACAGCTTTGGTTTTGTTTAGCAAGGATGGGACACACTTTTGTTGTGTACACTGTACAGTAAACATGGAAAACTAAAAATAAGCCATGGCAAACATTATCAATAAAAGCAAAAAAGTGAATCGAAAAAGACTTTGACATGAACCTATTAGAATTATGGGAATATATTAGCGTATGTAAAATTAATGATACAATATAAAAATATATAAATATTAATAATATATATTATATGTATAAACAATAATAGTATATAATATATATTAATGGTAGTAATATATGTATTATATTTTGTCTAATTGGTGTATGACAAAGGCTTGAAATTTTATATATGTACTTTTTCCTATTGCTTTATACTTTTTAAAATATTTTATGTTATGTCGTATTAAACTCTTTATGAGGTTTATTGTGATTCAAGAAGCTCTATTGAATTTTCTTAGGTGAAAAAAAAAAAACAATTGAATAAAAGAGAATATCATTAATTGGGGATCTTCTCAAGTTCTATAAGTTCTTTGCAAGAATTTACGCTAGAAGTCGAGAGTATTGGGATTAACTAATTCTATCTAGAAAATTTACTTGGCATTTAATTTACTTTTCAGTTCATTCAATATGTTATAGTTGGCTGCACTTATTAAGCCTCATTGCAAGAACCGCCCCATATAAAACTAGCAGGAGTACCAGGACTCTCTCTCTCTCTCTCTCTCTCTCTCTCTCTCTCTCCTTCTGTACAACATATTTAATCGTGTTCACATGCAGCAGCGCCAATTCGAGCTATCGAAATACGCATTCGAGTCATTCGCTTACGTAGTTAACATAGATCCTACTTCAAGATGCACTCGCCCACCCAGCATATTGCGTGTAAACCCATCTCTGTAGCCACAATACTACATACATGTACATGTATATCAGCCAAACGAGTGCCTTTGCCAATTCTATCTAGTTCTAATCGAAACCACTTTGTTCCGCAACTCTGCAACGTCTTTTCGATGTCTTCTCATTGTAGAAATAGCTACCCTGACGCACAAGTTCACATCGGTGACGCTCTACAAGAACAAGACGGTGCGCTATGCGGCCCGGATGCACGCCATCATTGCCTGCCAGATGGAGTTCCAGCTGTATCCCATGGACATACAAGTGTGTCCCATTTACATTGAAAGTTGTAAGTGAACAGAGCAATGGAATCCATCAATCGGAGTGAATGATTCATCTCGTTCGTTTGCTATTCATTCATTTCAAGTTTCGTCCAATAACCAAAAGGTAAAGTTACGCTGGTCGGATTCGGGCGTAACGCTCAATCCGGAACTGAAGCTGCTGCAGTACAATCTGGGCCAGCCCCTGGAGCTGGAGGAGAGCGATGGCTACATGCCCGAGAAGGTGGGCAACTTCTCTCGGCTCACCGTCTACTTTCGCTTCGAGCGTCAGATTGGCCATCATCTGATCCAGACATTTGCACCCTCCTCGCTGGTCGTGATGTTGTCCTGGTTCAGCTTCTGGCTGGGTCTGGATGCCATTCCGGGTCGCGTCACACTGCTGGTCACCTGCATGCTGACGCTGGTGACAATGTTTACGGGGCTGCGAGCCGATATACCACCCGTTGCGTATGTAAAGGCAATTAACTAGCTCCTGCGTCCTCCAGCACAAGACGCCAACTAATATGGCTTCCACTTTCCTTTGCATGCGACAGGCGCTGGATCTGTGGATGGCCGGGTGCATGGTCTCTGTGTTCGCCGCCCTGGCTGAGTTCGTGGTCGTCAAAGTGCTGGATGTGCAGTATCAGTACCAGGTGAATCGCATACCAAAGGTATTGCCCATGGTAAGCGCCGCCCTGGGCTCTGCCTTAATAAGTACAAAACATTTCTTTTATCGTTCCATGTCTTTGTGTCGGCACAGCGCATTAGCAATATGGAAAAGGGTCAATGCGCAACGGTGGCGAGCTGGGAGGGTGGTGCCGTACGGTCACGAAAGGCCACACAAACGCCGACGACGCCGGGCCAGGTGAGTTGGGGCCTTGGCACACATGCCACGCTCCTTTGGCCACATTAATATCGATAATCAAATCGAAGTCCATTATATAATTATATGCGAATGTGAATTGTAGTAATCCGTAACAATTATCTATATAGACCTCACTGCAGGGCAATGGCGGTCCACCGAAGCCGGCGCGTCGCCAAAGCCTTTTGTCTGTCGCCTGGACGGACACGGATACGGGCGTCGAGAAGATAATGTGGCGCGAGATTGATAAGGTCTCGCGCGCCGTATTCCCCATACTGTTCTTCGTCTTTGTCCTGCTGTATTGGCCCATCTTACTGATGAAGTCCTCCTAGGATTTGGGGAGTTCCAGAATACACTTTTCTGGACTCCGTTAAAAAATCGAAACTCAACTCAACTAAACTGAAGCAGAACGCGGACATACACTACGATATCCATGTGCTAGTTAGATATTTATCTAGAGATAAACACACATGGCATATTTAACTATTGGAATATATCAATGACTTGAGCATATCACCTCAGACATGATATGGTATATACGAAGCTACCTTTCCATACTCGAATACTCGATTGACAGTTGCTCATCAGCATATACACTCTCTCTCTCTCTCTCTTTCTCTCTATCTATATATACATACATACATATGTATATATATATATTTTTTTTTTTATTTAAACTTCTGTTAGAATATTTAACCAATAACTACTTTGCTTTGTAGTTATATTGCGCTAGCTAACTGGCAAATCAACTTATCAAATATCCTATTGAGAACTATTTTGTAATTCTTAAAAAATAATAACAAACTAAGCAAGCAACAGTTGAAACAAATTATAATAACAAATCCGTATCGGCTTACATATAGCTCGCTTTATGCCTAGAACATAACTTTTTATAAACCGAAACTCTATATATACATATATATATTTTATTTGATTGATATTAATTAGCCTGGGATTGACTTTCGTTTACTAACTATAGATAATAATTAGAGATATATATTTTGTATGCTTAAGGAAATCAGCCAGAAAATTAATTGGTGCTTTGACGAGATAATAAAATTGATTGAGATAAACCTTTAAGGATCACGAAACATATATTTCATACACACACAACTCGTAATGTAAATAAAGTAGTAAAAATGCTATTTAGGAATTTTTACACACTTATAAGATGAGTAAATAATTTAGCGCAAACTTTTGAGCTGTGGCTTTATACAAATATATATATTCATTTAAATATATATATATATATATATCTAACTGTAGCTAAAATAGCGCACACTCAATAAAAGCTAGGAATACGTATATCTATGTTAAATATATTTCATAAGGTTAACGAATTAAAAGGAAATCATATATTTTGTATATCAAAAAATTGCTGTAAATATAAAAAATAATATTAATGATTCATCTTCACAGAGATACTTATTTATCGTAGATCCAAATATGATATTTGTGTACATAAATTTCCATTGGTTAAGTTTTTTTTTCGCAGAGGTTTGTTCTTTTTTATACATATATATACAGAGAATCGAAACTGTTTATTATGCTCTATTAAATCTAACCTCAATGCTTGAAACATATCTAAAATAAAGAGTATTCAAATATGCATGTAAAGCAAGTAAATAAATAAAGCCAATTTGAACACAAAATAAAGACAAGATTTCATTAAAATTACAATTTAATATGCGTATTCGTACGATCTATATAACAAGATTAACTATTCTACACTCCGTCAGACTCCTCACTGTCTTCCTCTGCTTCTTCTTCTTCTTCTTCATCGCTAAAGTCGCATTCCTCGGCTCTGTCCGCTTTACTCTTGATCAACATCAATTCATCATCACTATCCTCATCCATTGTCGCGTCTGCTCCTTTCTCTGCTTCCAATTGCTCCGCTCTGTCCAGGAGCACTCGTATCGTGTACTTGTTGTAGTCACATCTGCAATTGCATTCATAAGTTAGTCAACAAGCTAAAACCCCTTAGACTAACGACTTACATTTTGTTGAGCATTTCATATTTACGCGAAATGCTTTCGTGTAGGCCGAGCAGAGCCGTGTGCTGGAAGACGTCGTCACGATTGCCGTGGGTATTCAGCAGGCAACAGCTCCACTGTAAATAGAACTCGATGTGGGGCGAGGACTGCAGGAGGCGCGCCAGATGTTGCAGCAAACGTTGGGCGATGTCGGGCGATAGATCCGCGCAAAGTAGCTCAACTGTAAGGAATGAAGACATCGTTTCGTTTCAATATATGCAGCCACGTGCTGTAGGCCAATGGCAATCAATTTACATATTTCATTGTTGTTGGTTTTTCTTTTTCATTCTGTAAGCATGTTTCAATTTGTGGGACCTATGTCAGTGGCCGAGGGGTTTATTAACAATCTGGCTATACAAATAGTTCCGCCTGTCAAACGCTAACCGGTCATATTAAAGCAGAAAGAACCTTGAAACTGTTTATTAACAGCAAAAAAGAACAAGAAATTTGCACATTCGATCCGAATGGAGTTAGGTAAGCTCCTTGAATATAAGGGGTAAATCCAACTTGCATTTATTTTTAGACATGCGAAAAATGCTAAAATGGCTATCGATTATAGAAATTTAAAAAAGAAGAATAAAAGGTAAAAAAAAAAAAAAAAAAAAAACTAAAGAAACAACAAATGTTGCAGGGACTAACTCCCTTGGCAAGGCCGAACTATGTACAGGGGTAACTTTTGTGCATTTTTGCATAGTATTCAGGTAATTTACGAGCACTTACTATCCCTGTATGGCACGCGCTCCAGCACTAAGGTCACTAAATTGGGCTCGTTCAGTTTCAAGGACATGACGAGCGCCTTGGTGAACTCCTCGCTTTTAAGCGCCTCGTGTACTGCCTTTGGTGTCACTTCCAGCGTCAAATCAAACGGATCGAATACCACGCCTATGAAATAGAACAAATTATTTAAACAAATTACAATAATAACTATAGTTAGCCGTCTGCTCACCCTTGTCTAGGGCATATATGCAAAGTCCTTCGGTGCCTGCAGCGGCAAATGCTTGTCCCGTGGGTGAGAAGCGAACGCAGAAGACACGCACCTCAGGCATAAAACGCCTGGAGGACATGTCGCCCTTACGTACGCCCGGCAAACGAATCGCCACATTGCCGCCTTCGCCCTCCTCACGTTGCTCTACCAAAGCCATATTGCCAAACTCACTCAGATGCTTGCGGCTAATGAACTCCTGTGAAATTCAATATGGGAATTCATATGAAATTCTATTTATATGATTTATCCTTACTCACATTTAAGCCATCCAAACTGTGATTTTGTGTTATTTCAAATTTCTTCAGTAACATCGCCCCACGCACATGATATATGCAGATATTGGCGGATTTGCCAGCAGCCAGAATGCATTCTCCATCCGCTGAATACTCTATCGTTGAGAAATAGCTGGAAAAGAAAATTCGATAAAATCAATTGATATACCATCAAGATATCTTTACCCACTTCGACTTGGCATTTTTCTTAGCAGTTACTATATCCGTCTGCAATCGACCGCCACCCAAATCATTGCGTCCCTCAATTGTGTTCACTTGTGTCGCTGATTTCACGTCAAAGATTAGTATGTTGCCAACGAGCGTTGCGACGGCGATCTGGATAAGCACATAAAACATTAAAACTTTGACCGAAATAGATTTTATATCAAACCCATTCACCTCTTCTCCGCTGGGAGAGAATGCTACGCATGTGACATCAGAAATAGCATCAATTGTTTCGTGCTCGCTATTGCTCTCCAGGCAATTCCAAACCTTCACAGTTTTATCCCAAGATCCAGAGATGAGTGTCGAAGAAGTGGCCACAGGCGAGAAGGCCACAGATGTCACTGGGCCCTCGTGACCGCTAATGACTTCCAACAATTTGCCCGTTTTGATGGACCACAAGAATATCTCGAAGACATCCTGACCACCAGCAACAACCAACTCTCCCGAGAAGTCAATTGCAACGCAGGCGAACTGAGCAGGAGTTGGCGATGTGAATGTCCTGAAGTTACGGTATCTATATAAATGGGAAATAATATTACATTAGTTAAAGTTGATGAGAATTCCATAAAATCCGAGCAGACCTTATTATATCGAAAGCACGCACTGTGCCGTCCAGTGAGCTGCTAACCAGGAACTTCTTATTACGGCTAAACTGTACCCCGGTCACGCCACTCGTGTGCTCGCTGAAGGTCACGAAGCAGAAACTGCTTTGGGTGTTCCACAGCTTTACCTTGGAGTCCTCGCCGCCTGTAGCAATGTATTGGCCATCTGGCGAGTAGGCTATGCAGGTCATTTCACTGCTGTGGCCCTGCTGCTTCATGATGTACTGCTCACTCTGCCACTCCCACACCAGCAGTTGGCCGATTTCGCGTGAGGCCAGCGCAACCCAATCGCCAGTGTTATTGAAGAGGGCCGTCGATATGGGGTAGTCGGAGATGCTCAGCGAGTGAATCATATTGACGTCGGGTAGCTCGTACAAGTAGAAGGCGCCAGTGCTAAAGGCGACCACCAACACCTTTGTATGCCGATTGTAGTTGGCCGCCGTTAGCATCGCATCGCGTTTCTCCTTGCGCGGCTCGTTGGCTAAATAGTGCCGACCGAGCTTTTTATAATAGAACGGATGGGTCTTTTGCACGCCTTCGTCTTTCACTTCGTTCTGGTCCAGGTCATCGATTTCTTCATTCAATGCCTTCCTTGATACTTTCTTTTCCATATTGTCTTCAATATCATCTTCGGATTCACTGTCTGATCCCTTAAAAGCATTTGGAGTTTTTCGCTTTGCAGATGGCGGCGCAGGTTCCGCCTTAGCTTTATCGACTTCAGTTAAGTCCGATGGCTCCAGGCTACATTCCCACAGACAGAGTTGTCCATTCCGGCTGACAGTGTTCAAGTGCAGGCTGTTCAATTCGAAAAAGCACGATACAATGGCATCCGTATGTCCGCTTAGATTATACGTTCGAAAGTTAAGCATGTGATTTATGCCGCATATTTTAGTGGAGCTATCGCGACAGCCAATTGCCAGAAGCTTGGAGTCTGACGACCAATCTAGCCACGTGATATCGTCGTAGCCACCAATGAAACTACGCTTCAGTACAAACGGATTGTACTCGCCAGTTATTTCACCCGGAGAGCAAAAGATTAACACAAGATTCTCTCGTGCGACTGCGAAGTATTTGCCATCGGGACTGAAGTTGATGCACTGCACGCCCGTTTGGAATTTATGCCGATGTATGACCGTGCAGGAGAGCATGCTTATCAGCTGCGCATTGCCCTGCTCATTGACAGCGATCAACAGGCTGCCATCTGGAGATAGGGCAATGTTTGTGTAGTTGTAATAGGACTCCAAAGACAAAGTGCGCGACTTGTTGCTGAATTAATAATAAAGTAAGACATATATTATTGTGTACCTATAATACGCGTGCGTTAAGGAACATACTTCTTGAGATCGTATACCGTTATCCGGTTGCCCACAGGACTGATAACTGAATTGCCATCAGGCGTGAAGACCAAGTTTCCATTGCGATAAATTGTGCCCAACAAATTCGAGAACTGCAAATATATAAACCTGAGCAACATATATTTTTTAAATGGTGAATTACTCACTTTGTAAGAAAACTTCATATCGCACAGTTAATTTATAAATCAAAGAACTGAAATTATGCCTTTAAGCGGTAACTATAAACAAAACGCACTGCACGTGTTAAGCGGTGGACGCTAAAATACCAAAGAATCGATATACAAACACTATCGATATCTGTAGTATTTATTGGGTATTTGAGTATATCAGCTGATAAATACAGAGCTGCCATCCCTTGTCCGTTTATTCTGTGAATTTCATCCAAAACAAAGAAGATATAGTTGTGTGAATTTGGCAAATAAATATAAATTTGTTGTCAATAAACAATGGAAAAAATAAAAAGTGCGTCGGATAAGTTAGCCGAACGCAAGGCACGCTTACTCGAACTGCACAAACAGCGCCAAGAGGCGCGCACACAAAACCACCAAGAAGTCGTCGCAGAAGACGCACGCAAAAAACTGCCAAGCAACTGGGAAGCACGCAAACGACAAGCAGAATGGCTGCTCGCTGATGAGAAAGCACGCGCCGATGCAAAGGCTGCTGGCAAGGATTACGAGCGTCTGCAGCTGCTGCAAGTGTCCGCCATCGATGCGGAGCGCATAGAGAAAAAGAAGATACGTAAAGATAATCCCGACCTGGGTTTCTCCACATACGAGGCGCAAACTGCGCGGCAGTACAATCGTTTGGTCAAGAATATGCCACCTCGCGATATGGCCAAATATGAGAAACAGAAGGCTGAGCTGGGCGATGCATTTTATGGTGGCCCTCACACGACGATCCATTTGCAAACCAAGGACACTCCAAGTGCTATCAATAATATGGTTAAAGACCTGGAGCAACAGATCGATCGCAGAAAGAAATATTCCAGACGCCGCATTTATAACGATGACGCCGATGTGGACTTCATTAACGAACGCAATTCAAAATTCAACAAGAAGTTGGATCGCTTCTACGGCGAACATACGGCAGAAATCAAACAAAATCTGGAACGCGGCACGGCTATCTAAACCTCATTTTTCTATTGCAAATAAAACAATTTAAATGTAAAACATAGTCTCTAAGTTTGTTTGTACCTAATACAATATATGTAGATATGTACTTGTCTATGCAACAATCGTTGAACCTTATTAATGTTAGCTTTTTTGGAAACACTCTTTGTACTCTGAGAGAGAAAAGCTGTGAATGCTCAACGGTTGAGCTATTGTGCCCTATATAAAGGCGAGGTGCTGAAGCATTTCTTCAGTCGTTCCTGACCTACTCGTGGTTGACCGTGTGCTGCTGTGCTCCTCTTCTGTGTGTGTCCCTCTCACTGTGCTCGCTCTCCTTGGAGTTGCTTGTAATCTTGTAATTTATTTGGATTAGGAAGAGAATATTTCGTGGCATAAGTGTATTTTGTATTAATTAAACTTGATGCTCTATAGAATTCACATAACGTGATAATCTTAATCAGCGTCAGATGCAATTTATCAAATAATCTAAACAGATCACGATCCTTTTGTAATATAATGTCATGTTCAAAATAAATACTGCGGTACTGCCAACGAATACCAACAATTATACTTAAATACTAGATCCTCAGTATTTATTAATACCATTTCGCTTAAGCTTTGTTTACATTTTGTACTAGTCCCAATAGTCGTCATTATTGGTACATTAACATTTCTCTCCATTTTCTCACAGTGTAATATGGTGTTTTATCCAGGCTACAGACACCATGAACAATTTTAGCGGACGTGAAAAATATTTGATATCAAATACATTGAATTGCTTGCCTATAATACTGCAAGGACGTGCTGTACTTATAGATCTACGAAATGAGACATCCGTGGCGGGGATCATCAGCATTGCCGACGGCCACATGACATGCGAGTTAACCGATGCAGTTTTCATTGATCGCAATGGTAAATGCCATGCATTCGATAATTTTTTGATACGCAATCGAATGATTCGGCTGCTGCATGTGCCCGCGGATCTGGACATCAAGCATGAGCTCTCCCAGCTGCAGCGCAGGCCGGCTAACAGAAACAAAACGAAGACCAAGCGCACCTTCAAGCAGAAGCGAGCAGAGGAGCGACACAAGGAAACTCTACAGATTATTAAGACCCAAAAAGTTGCTGATAAGCCGCAAGAAACATAAAATTAATTTACATTGTAAATAAAATAGATTTAATAAATATTTTAGTTTATTATTTTTATTTTTATTCCCTTCTCACATTTATTTAATAGCTGTGCAAATAGTAGATATAAAATATTACTTGGACTCCTTCTCTTCCTTGTACTTGTAATGCAACTCCATGCAATCTGTTTCTGAAATTTTAATCCAGCCATTTTTGGTCATGTGGTATACACGGATGATACCGCCCGAATACGCATCACGGAACGTTGCATGGTAGATGGCACGGCGGCCCAGCTCCTGTGCGGCAGCATCTTCCAAATCCCAATGATAGCCAGAATCGAGAACACCAAATGCATAAATGGAGCCGCTGCCAACTGAAAAGACATTGCCGGGAGTGCGTGATCCTTCGGAGTCCACATAGTAGAGGCCAGGTCCGCGCTTATCATAGCCAGCCAACATCATGCCCATGCTGAGGCCCATGCCCTTGTACTCGTGAGCAATGTTGGCCATGATCTTACTGGCGGCAGCCACTGAAATGCGTTCCTTGTTGCGCAGCTCGTGCAGGCGGCATTCCTTGGATAGCACGCGGTCCCAGTACACGCAGTCGGCAGCACCGCCGGCCAATGTGCCGAGCAAAAATTGGTTTATTTCAACAATCTTTTTCATCGACTGTGATCCAATATATTGGCCACCAGTAGCACGGGAATCAACGGCCAAGATGACGCCGCCTTGGTACTTGAATCCCAGAGTTGTGGTGCCGTGATCAAAGTTGATCTTAATGCCGGTTTTATCACCATTTGCTTGGATTTTATTCAAATTCTCAAGGGGCTGAATGATGAATACTCGTTAATAACAATAGTTTACTATATTTTTTCGTCTTACATTCTCGAATGGAGGAGCCGCCAATGTGTATGGATTTGCAATGTTGCTGGTGTATGCATTCAGCTCGTCCTCCACTTCACTCGAAGACCAGGCAGTTGGCTTCATATATGAAGCATTCGAAATTTTGCAAATTTCTGCTAGTGCCATTTTATTTTTAACAATATCCTCGCTTTAGTTTGCCGACGCAGAAATTAAAACTTATTTTGTGATGAGATGACACAAAATTGACAAAAATTACCCAGCACTGGAACAAGCATGTTTATGGGCACCCTGAAACCTTTAACATTAGCCAAAATGTTATTAACAGCGCGCGCTCCAAAGTTCTTTATTAAAATTTGTCGTTACTTAATTTGTTTTCAAATATAAGTTTAGTGGCATAGTATTTTGTGAAACTCAACACACAGCCTTTAAACCCCACAATAGCTTGGGAATTAAGTAATAAAATAATGCTTACAAATATTTGTAATGTCTCATTATAACTGATTTCGATAACATAAAATACTGATGATCTCTCGATTATTTTAACTGGTAGGTGGCAACCATATACAAAACCTGTTGCCAATTTTGCAATTCGCCTCAATTTTCTCTTCTATTTTCCTTTAGGCCTGGCTTAAAGCCAAATTAACTCTGGGCGTGCACAAAATGTTTCATTTTGCCATTTGTTAATTAAAGTTTGTCATTTTCAATTAAATAAAAGAATATAAGCTCCGGAAGTAACGTGTAACTTTTAACGGATCAAAATCAAACATCGAATAAAGCTGTAAATTGTAAGAATGTGTGTTAATTCGCTCCAAAGCGGTCAATCTCAATTAGCAAAATATTGTTGTACGTTCATATGTGCATATGTGACAATAATTAAAAGGAAATGTAATTAAATCATATATACATACCAAATAAAAGTGATCTTATTAGAGAAATTGTTGAGAAAAGCTTAAAATATGTATGTAAATTTGTGCGTACGATGGCATGCTGTGTGTGTGTGTGAGTGGGTACGTGCGTGCATGAGCGTTTGTATGTAATTCAGTACACGGACAGCGTAATGAGTTTCTACTACGCACCACATACATACATATGTATGTATGTTCAGACATACGCGAACTTGTAATAAAACTTGGTTAATTGACTTTTGACAATTGAAACGTCTTTTTATATTTGGGTTTGTCTTCAGACAATGCAGCATGGATCACAATTTGAAGCAGGAAGCATTGCCGAATGCCATTTCCGGGGTAAGTTCGAAAAGAAATCGTATCGGTGCTTGATATAAATGTGTATTGTTGTGTAAATTACATATTTTAGCATGACTCCAGAAACTGGACGGCATTGCACGAAGCCGTTGCGGCGGGCGATGACAGACGAGTGCAAATCCTGCTGTCGAGCAATGCGGATCGCCTGGCCAGGGAATCGAGTCAGGGCAACACGCCATTGCACGAGGCGGCCAGTCGAGGACTCAGCCGTTGCGTTAAATTGCTCTGTGCCCCGCCAACCACCAAGACGCAGCACAAGGAGCAGAAGAGCCGACTGAAGACGCGGGTAGCAAACACGATCGAAGCTCTGCACAACAGCACGCTGAGCATGATTAACAATGAGGGCTTGACGGCGCTTCACTTGGCTGCTCAAAAGGGTCACAATCAGAGCTCTAGAGAACTGCTGATGGCTGGAGCAGATCCCGATGTGCAGAACAAGGTGCGTCCTATTATCCTTATTAAATTGATTATTATTCATTAAATGGCTTTCAACCTTTTCTATAGTACGGCGATACTGCTCTGCATACAGCCTGTCGCTATGGCCATGCAGGCGTCACTCGGATTCTCCTTTCGGCCTTGTGTGATCCCAATAAGACAAACCTGAACGGGGACACTGCACTGCACATCACCTGCGCCATGGGTCGGCGAAAGCTAACGCGGATTCTGCTGGAGGCAGACGCTCGTTTGAATGTGAAAAATGCTCAGGGCGATACGCCTCAAAGTATTGCGATCAGAAAGAATTATCGGGAAATCAATGAGATTCTAAGCACTCCAAAGCGTATACGTAATCGTCGAGAGAAGCCAAAAGATCATGACAAATCAGCGCCTGCTCAGGACAAGGACAAAGATAGTGTGGATAAGGCAATCAATTGGTCGCCCTATGGCTGTCACTATTTTCCTGATCCGCGCTCATTTCCATCGCCCAAACTGGAAACCTTACCCAAAGAGCCGCTGAAGCAAGGCGAACAGTATTTCCTTGACCTCGCCGGGAACATACACAAGGGTCCAGTCAGCGTGGGCAACACATGCTATTGTGGTCCCTTCTTCCGGCATATAGAGAATAAACTGAACTGTAATCGGAAGAGCCTGAAGAAGTATGTGCACAAAACAAAGGAGCGGCTGGGCCACAAGGTTCAAGCGTTGGCAATCAAGACGAACGATCAAATCGAGCAGCTGACTCGAACAATGATCGAGGATCGCATTCGCTGTGAGAGCAAACGACTTTATCTCAATGAATACCTGCGCCGCGGAGAGCCATTTCGCTCCACCTACGACAATCAAACCAAAACTCAAAGGGTCGAACGCACATTGTCTCGATGTCGCAGCTTGGACTTACTTGAGAGTAATTTCGAGAGCGGCAAAATGTCCAACTCGAAGAGCGTTGACATTCTGGAGAACGAAAATCAAACGGTTGTCGACATCGTATACCATTCGCAGTCGCAGGAGGCGCAGGCTGAGAGCGACTCAAATGAGGATACCCAATCGAATTCGAGTATGGGAGTAACAGAGAACCGAAATGATTTGATGAGTGCAGCTGCTCTATCGACAGCTGAGGAGGAGCTGAAGCAAACGAAATTGAATGAACTGAAGCAGGACTTTCTTAAGGTATCGGAGCGACTTGGAGATTTGCTAGAGAAGACCACTCTCATCATGGAGCGAGACAACGAGCAGGAGAATAAACGCCAGCTCTGCTCCCTGTCGCCAGAGCAAAGTAATCCATCCATGTACACTCCAGAGAATCCCTGCCACCTGCTGGACAATAAGGAGAACGCTAATAGTCCCAGCTACGATGAGTATACAAATGTACAAAGACGCTATCCCAACTCAAGCGAAACGTCAAACCCGTCTCAGAACTCAAACAGTTGGGAGTTCGAAACGACTCCGCCGGACGCCCAAAGGTATTACCATTGCATTGGTCGCGGTGAAAATATGCTGAACACGGTGATCAAAGCACTTCGGAAAGATGCCACCTTTGCGGATCACAACAAGGACGACGTAACCTTCAATCAGAATGATAGAGATAGAGTCTGCGGCGATAAGTTGTTGTACAAGGAGCAGGTTCAAAGCACACCATCTCCATCGCCATCGGCGTCGTGCAGCACAGATGCCGTGTTTCATGCGCAACCGTCCCACCCAAGATCCATGCAAAAATCCATATCGAATCTCATGAAGAGGCAACCGCTTTGCTTGGAGGACAACTACTCAGTCAATGCAAATCTCTATAACTCCAATGGCTTGAGTATTGCCCAAGCAAACATTCCCCATCACGTAGCTGGCGGCGTGCATATGAGGCAAAACTCCAATGAAGCTGCTGGGAAGGTTGAGATTAGAAACAGCGAAATAAAATACCTAAAGAAATCGAATACGGGCCAAGTGAAGGACATGGTGGCCCAGCTGCAGGGCAGGATTGATTCGAACATGCAGTACGACAATGATGTTGGCTTGAGCTACGACTTGCCGCACTCACAAATGGTGGCGCCTCAGTTGAGCAATAATCTCCATAGCATATCTAATCCTGAAAACGCTGGTCAACTGCCGTTGCCAAATGCTTCGTCTCTGTATGCGGTGCACGCGAGAACACCCCAATATGCGCCATACGGTGCAGCTGAGAGGCACATACCCAAAGATGCTTACTTTCATGATCTTCCCAATCGATCAAGAAATCTGCAAAGAGCACAAAACGTTTACTCTGGCGATTTGGGCAGCGTCAGGCTGTCAGTTGGCTATGCGGGACCGCAAGAGTTCCGCTCACCCAGTGCCCAATGCCAATCCCAGTCCCAATCCCTCCATCTGCAGCCACATGATCATGAACCCCTGCACGGGGATTACGTTAGCCGAGCACCCGCTCTGGCTGACACCAATCAGCTGCAATATCCCCACGGGAATCTGGCACAAGGCGTCAACTCAATACGATCCCCGGCTATGATCTTTCGAAGTCAACTCCCGCACAATGTCCTAAGCAGCGATGTCGATATCGATGTGGATGAAATCGCATCTGTGGGTTTATACAATAACGTTTCCAGCTTGGTTTGAAACACATGGAGCAAGTTAATAATTAATGTAAATAATATAATTGTGCAGATTTTGTAGCTACCATTTTGTAAATAGTTGTCACAATGTATTTATCATAATTATTATTTAGATGTATGTATTTATATATTTATGTTATCCTGTTAGTTTGTTGCACTCAGCCAGATGTTTGGCAGAGCAAATTCTGGACGCGGCAACGTTTAACAGTAATAATATTTTTGTTTAGAATTCGCAGCATTTGTTTTTGGCACTATTTGTTGTCTGAAAATATATGTGTATATGTGCATGTATGTGTGTATGCATGTACTTATTTCGTAGGTTTTCTTTTCGTATCTTCACTTAGGCGTAACAACTATGAATAACTACGTATTAGAGTTATTATTGAATTAAAATATATTTTCTTTAAAAAATTTTTAATATAATAGTATTAATGTATGTGTAAATATCAGAATGTCAAGTACATATTTATTGATAACAGATCGTTTTGGTGTTTTGATAGACATGCGGCTTTCGACATTGTAATCATTAAAATCAATTTTCAAATAATAAAATATGTATACAAATTAACTAATGATGACAACTTTGATATCATTTAACTACATATAATTTGCTGGCTTTGCTTGTTAATTATGTTTTTTTGTTTTGTTTGTTTAGCAATTTCTTAAAAATGGTTTCTCGATGTTTGATCATTAATTCAAAATTCTATAAATGATGTTGCAGCTGTGGGCTGTGTGTATGGGCACGGCTGCTGCTGTCTTCTGATGACGTACACTTATCGGCCACTTAATAATATCTTAATTCTGAATAGTCGAATTACATGTTACAAGTTAGCCAATAATTTATTCGCTTTCCATGTAGCCTAATATAAAACTATTAACATTATTTATGATTTTGCATTCTATTTGAAAATGTTTTTGCTTTCTTTCTTTCTTTCTTTCTTTGCTGGCTTTAATGAAATGAGTGTCGATAACCCGGCTCTTCTCAATTTAACTTAACAATATTGTTGGTCTTCCGACAGCAGGGATGAGTTGTTATGCTCGCTTGGGACTTTGCAAGTTTCATGAATATATTTTAGATCAGGTAATGTCTCAAAGGGGACTATTGTCCGAGTCTTCGCGCTCTTGGATTGTTGTTATGCTTTGCTGCAAGGCATTCGGCGTAAGCCACTCTCTGAAATAGACGAAAAGCCCAAATTACATTTATTTAAGTCTAATCTAATCGAATCTTAAGGCAGATACTCACTTTGGTAGGCATCTTTGTAAAAATGGCACACAGGAGCTGAAATGTGCTAGACGGTTCACCCAGCTGGGTATCTCTTGGCCGCAAAGTATCTGAGGAAAAAAGGGAGAATTATTACAATGGGTATTCGATTCGATTAAAGTCACGACTGTGTGCCAAACCTGAGTCAAGTTGCCCGAAAAGTGATTACAATTATTGTTCATAAGATGATAACGATCTCCGCGAAATTGATTGCCCAATTCCTCAACAAGTCGACGCACTTCCTCGTATGTAAAGTCGGTACAGCCAATTTGAATGCTCTGTCGGAACTGGAATTGTTCGCCCAGTTCGTCGTGGTCACGCGGAGTGATTTCGAAGACACCAGTAAAAGGAAACGGATGGCCTCCGTATGCAAACTCAGTGCCAAATGCTTCTACGCCGGAATGAAATACGCCAAGACCAATTGATGTGGTATATTCATTAATCCAGTACTGCGAACACAAACAAAATTAATCAAATTAATTAACCATATTTAGCAATCATAAATCCACTTACCATGTCATATACGTTAAGAATAACAGGTTCTCTTGTGCCCATATTGGATGGCAAGAGCTCCTCATTACCATCTTTTGGTACACTTAGGCAGCTCGGAAACGACAGGTTGCACGGCAGCCCGTTGGAGAACATTGATTAAATGCGTTGTTGGTTTTGCTTTCTACACTACAATCAAGAAATAAAGATCTACGAAATGAGTCAATAAATTGTGACAAAGTATCTGAGTGAATCAATTTGGCTTAGTATTGCAATTTCGACTGGAACTCAAATGCATTTGCACTGTTGTACGCATTTGTATTTAATTACGATTGTTTATATTTACATATATATGCACAAAAGTACACTTTTCTATGCACATATGTTCAATTGCATACATACATATGTATATATGATATATATACTGAATATATACTAGTTCCATTCTCATGCATACACATACTCACACCCACACACATACACACATTCATCTTTTTGTGTTACAAATGTGTCATACCAAACAACTTACACGAAGTACAGGACGCTAATATCCCATAATCCAGTGGAAGTTACAAATTTGTAATTGACCAATGTTAAGAACTTTGCATTTATTGTTTTTATTTACTTCTGTGCCTGGCTTAAGTTTATACACAAAATTTTTTGTTGTTTATGGATTGATTGTGTAGAGTTGTGTCGGCCCAGTTTAGTACCGTTCACTGAACTACTTTTATCGAACCACTGGACTCGGATAATCGATTGCACAATTTGAACAAATATCGAGCTTATTTTCATGCCAAAATCGGTTATTTTTAGCTTTTTCATAAATGTTAAAATTTATGATTTGATATGTTAAAGTTTAATTGTTAATTATTATTATAAAATGAGTTATAATATTAAAAATGTTCTATTTTGAATAAGTCATTGACATCGTTATTTTGTCAAACAGTATAAATTAGTCTTGAATATTAAGCATGTAAATTTTGTTTAATTTATTATTAATTTATTATGATAAAATTTACCAAGTAATCAAATACAATATAAATTTAATTCTTCATTTACAAATTAAAATCAAGTAGAATTTTGAATATTTGTATATATATATAATAAAATTAAAGTTCTGTTGGCTAAGGACGATCCTTCAGTGGATAAAAACCGAGGAACTACACTCCTTTGGAATCTAAAATAAACAAACATTATTATAAGGAAGACGAACAGCTGTTGTCAGTCAGGAGACATATAGACAACTATGTATGTATATATATTTAGATAGTGATACGCATTAACCTGTAAGTGTTTCGCATTTCTGCGCATGTCAAAGATTTGATTTGATTCAAACAAACAACACGTGCTTACTGCAGAAGCTTTTGGCGTCAATGAGAGGATAGAAAAAGTAACAAATATTGCCGGCTCTCCCAGTCGTCGTTGGGTCTCTCATTCACTATCTATGGACTGAGTGTTTGAGCACATACACACACACATCCTTGCTCAATATCTGGCGGTGGCCTATTCCGTGACTCTCAGTCTTGGTTGAGCGATGCGGAAGAACGGTTAAGGTTGAGTCATCCAAGAGGACCTTCAAAAAAAAAAAAAAGTGCAGCAAATATTAGTGTAGAGATAAAAAAAAAGAAAAGAAAAATAGAAAAAAATAGATAAAGGCGTGAAATAAAAAAACATAGTCAACAACATTAATGTATAAAATATAGTATATAAAAATTATAATTAATAAATTACTATAAATACATATATGTGTATAAAGATATTGAAATAATTTTTGTTAAAGTGCATCAATTAAGCACTTTAAAGATAAATTGTGAACCTTTCGTTCGGGCAACAATGTAAGAGTGAAAATGGAAAATTCGCCGTCCAGTTCCATAGAGAAGCAAATCGATCATTTTCTGGAGCATTTCAAACGCAGTGCATCCAAGGCCATCGACACGGAGTGGGGAAGCGGCTCGGATATCAACAATGGACCGTCTAGCAGCAGTCCGCAGAGACAGCCCCCACTGCAGCGCCTGCTGCAGCGCACCAAGAGTAGATCCAGCTGCCTAGACGTCTCAGAGCTGTCGGGTAGGTATTCCGAAAGGTTTTCCCTAGACTAAGCTGAGCGAAATTTAGTTCTAGTTCGAATCATTATTATTTATTCGTGCCAACTCAAGGCTGCGTCTACTGCCCTTACTCCGCCCATCGACCCCATACATATTTATTGATTTTCCGTATTAATCGCCGCAGTAGCATTTCGTGCGCCTTTAATGTCACGGCCCAAACAGCGATTCCGGATAAACTTGATTTGTTTGTGTGAATTCTTTGAGTTGAATTGATAACGACTTTTTATGACCAAGTACGAGATTTTCGTCACCTTGAAGGCGAAATTTTTAATATCAATTGGAGATATATTGTAAATTGAGAAGATGTTTGGAATGTATTTGTAAATATTTTGAATCTACTACTTCGCAATAGATAATGAAGGACATCACAACGTCTATCTGAAAACATAATTCTGGAGGATGTATTAAGAAAATATTACAGTTGTAAAAATATCTTGGGCACGCCCATACTCCACATACATGTATGTTCATTATATCTTAGCTGTGCCAAGAAATTGAATACCTTTTTGTGTGCATAGACTGATTGGTTCTACGTCGCGTCGTCGGCATATTGCATATTCTTCTCATTTAGCTGCACTTAAATGGCCGCTCTTATGAAATGCACACGTACATACCTACATACGTGTTAAGTGTTTGTATGTATGTACATTGTACAGCTACCTAACTATGTGCTTAAATGCTTCCAAGTGTTACCCTCGTTTGCATTTGGTGCACCCGTTGCAAGTGGGTTTCAATTTTAATTTAGGGTAGACGACGCTTATTGCTAATCTCTAGTTCTGACGATTCTCATTTGCTTTTCTTGTTCTTTTCTACTGTTTTTGCCTGTTGCTTTATTTAAAGCCCACGCATTAATGTGACCTTGATTCTTAGTTGTGTTTTGTAAGAAAAGACTTTTAAAAAATGAATAGGTTAATTACTTACAGAAATTACTTTGATTATATACACATTGATCTGGTGTACAATTTATAGTAAGTACTATATTAAATGTATTCTAAATGTTAGGTTTGTATTTACTTTTGTTTGCTAGTATTTTTCCTTTTTCGGATATATCAATACTGAAGAATGCTAAAAAATAAATGGTAATTTTTACCAAAAGGTATAATCGTCAAAGTAGGATTTCGTTGATTTATTTTAAATTATGAAATTTGTTTAGCATATACAAATTAATGTTATTTTGAATCGTTATTTTTGAATTATGAATTTTGAGCTCTGCATTCAACAGCTGTTTTCTGTTCTGCTACTGATCTTGTTATCGATAACAATGTACATATAAATTTACAGTGGAACTAGTTAATTGCTGTTAAAATTTGAACACAACTCGATGTTTTTACTAAAAACATCCTTTAAATGAAAGAGCTTTTTATATAAAAAGTAATGATTTCAAGTATTCGATTACATTAAAAAATAATAATGGTCTTTGATTTCTATTCCTTAAGTTAGCGGATCAAACATTTACTGCTCGCTGTTAAATAACAGCTCAGCTGATGTTAATGCAAATTTTTCTGTTATGTTATTTATATTAGTTCAGCTCTTCTTCTTTCGTGTAAAATATACCCGGTGCATAGTTGAAATATACAAATAATGTTTTTTATCTGCCGAGATACGTGTGTAAGCGTCAGTTTTCAGATGATTTGTGTTGCGCGTGTGTTACCTAATCTTGCAAATGCATAATATATAATTAGATATACATATCAGCATCATATGTGAATTTATGTATAAATATTTACGTACATACATACATACATACATTTATC